GTTTTTTTATAGGAAGTGACCGTGTGTCAACGCAGGCGTGCTGTGCTCATCCAGGATACGCAGCCTTGAGTTTACCGAAAGGTCTGCTTTCTTTTTGACGCTATGCCACTGTGCAGAAACTTTTCTGTGATGTTTGTTTATTGGGTGGGTGGTGCCATGAAGTGTTAAGTGCATTCCCATTACTCTGAAACATTTTTTCCCATCAGATTTCAGAATTATTTCATATTTGTTTTTTAAAGGGTTTCTACATGGGGCGTAACCAACATATAAAGGACCCATGATCCTTGTGGGCAAGATTGAAAATCATCATCACCATGAATTCTATCCTACAGATGATCATCGATGTGCACCAGCTGAATAACATATTCAATTTCATCATTTCATAACACATCTATGCATTGACAATTTACTCAAATTGCATGCTTAATGACTTTGCATGAGCTTTGCCTTTCACAATTACAATGGTAAAACATATGCTTGCCACTTCTAATATTTTTGTGGACATAAGGCAAGAACTGCATGTAATCTCTTATTTGTTCATAATTAAGTAATTATTTTCTTAATTATATTAAATTTGACGTACTAGCATTACATATCCTTCATCTCTAGCATCGACATCGTTGTTTTTTCTTCTTAGTTTCACTGTAATAAAGTTAGAATAGTGAGAAATTTGTCTTGTGTCTACAAATGGCTGATCAGAAATTATGATGGGGAGTCGAAATCCATTTATTACTATTTAGGGGGCATCCATATAAGGGTTTGAAGTGGGGAGGACTGCTTATCTTAAACCATGTGGCTTAATGCTACGATAAAGTATAATGCTAGTGTCATATATAGCATCCGTGTTTCCTAGTATATTGGTGAAGGTTATTTTATGTTTATATGTAGAGAACATGGACTTCTAGAGACGTAAATGCATTTTATGCAAACCAATAAGATAAATTTATTCTTTTAAATTTGGGGTCTACGTCCGTGATAGGACTTAAATATTAGGTTTTTGGTTGCATGTTACGTTAATACAATCGCATGCATTACCTTGTTAGATGGATAGGAGTTGGATAGACAATGCGAACCATATCTCGGCTCAATATTTGGATGGGGTCAGGGCTTTCTTAGATTTCGCATTGTACGGGGCGAAAGTCCTTCACTACTCTCGCCGAGGAGGTACCTTTCATTATGTTTAAGTAATTAGTCATGCTATGCTTCATCCCTACATTCCTCGAAACATAGTTGCTTGTGTTTTGCAATGACATAAGGCCTTGTGTTGCTGCAGATCAAAGCAAAGGGGAAGGACCCCGACAATTTGGAGATTTTGATATCCAGTCGGACACAAGGGAAGGGGAAGGACGACCAAAAAACCGAGGAGATTTGGGTATAATAAATTTATTGTACCAATTAAGTGACAATTCAGACATTCTGTACCTCTCTGACAATAAAAGCGAGTTCGGCCTCACTTAAATCTTTTCTTGTAGACATATTTACAGAATGTGCTAAACAAGATTCCCCCTGAAGGGCGGACTCCCTCTGTTCGGGAGACTCTGTACCGACGGGCCCTTGGGGGAAAGATTAAGAAGCGGTCAAAGGTCGATAGTGCGACAAGTTCAGCCCATCCCCGCAGTGATGCAACTAGTTTAACAGATAGTGTAGCATTCGAGCAAGGGTGGGAACAAATACAGAATGGAGTTGCAGAGTTGAGGGCAATGATGGTTGAGTTCAAAACTATCAAGTCTGATGTGTATGCATTCATGCACAGAAACTCCGGAACAGTTACTGGCCAGGCAGTAAGTATTCATAATATCTGTACATTTCATATGAGTATCCCATGAGATTGGGATGGCTAATATGGGAATTTACCATGATATGCGCATAAATGACAGGGCACATCTCGTATTTATTCAGTATCTGAGCTTCCCAGGCTTGTGTCCGAGCCAGGTCTGACGGTATGATTCCGTCAAACCTTGAAGTTTCTTAGTAATCAGTGCAATGCCTATTTTAGGCTACTCTTGATAGTCTACTACGTTTCCAACTCATCTGTAATATTTTGTTGTAGGTCGGCACGCGTGTGCTTCTATTATCCCGCACCGGTGAGAAAAAAGTTGTTGCGGAGGGACTTCTGCTCTGCCCCCCTGCGCCAGGTTTGTGCCATTGTCTTTAAGGTTTTTTTGGGAACTTTTATTATGCCTCGGCTATGGGATCGTAGGTTTTGTGACCGTTCGGGCCTCATATTGCTAATGATCATGGTTTTCTTGAGCCTAGACATATACAATGTTACGATATGTGGATTTGCTTGTGTTATGTACACTGTTTTTATAGGGGCAGTAAACTCAGTGGTATTAAGCCGACTCCTGTGTTGGTCTGGTCTTTTTTATCTTTTACATCACATTGTTTATGGCTACGATGATATTACACCATTTGGGTACACTATGACTTTCCCCAAAGATGTTGGAAGTTGACTTTATTATTGAAATCCTATGTAGTCCCTTGCTGCCAAGGTGTACCTCGTGTTAGTCATGAGTTTGGTACATAAAACATGATATATCAGTGGTCGGTACTCTAAACTTGGAACTGCATCTGCGGATGTCTGCTCGTATGTAGTGTATAAATGGTAGTTATTCTCATTGAGGCATAGTACTACGAAACATACATGGAGCCATCCCATTTGGGGGTTGCCATATGGATATAGAAATTCGAAATACTAATTTTTATTTGGATATTGTACATGATATTGCTGGTTTACATTTGTTTATTGGAGGATGATTGGTTTATAGATCGAGCTGCAATCACATAGGAAATTAGGATATAATGTACTTTGGTACCTAATTCGTGGATATAATACCATGTATTGTACGACATGTCTGGATATACATACTCGTATTGTTCTAGTTGCAAAGCTTTACACTTCTAATGTCTGTGTTGTGGCATGTTATACATACAGTTTGAACGTCTGTTGATATATATGGCTCAATATACTCAAAAATTGCACTTGTGCATGCTGTAGGTGACACACTTTCCCTGGTCAAGGTCTTCGTGACATCCGCCTCAGTCCCGGACACACCCCTTATTTTGCCGACCATTGCTGGGGTGACTACCCTTCGCAATGTCGTTGGTGAAGATCCTATTGAGTGGAACTACAAGGACGTACGGATCTACTTTCATACCTTTCTTGTATTGCCTTCCGAATTTTATAAGAGATACGACTTAAACTAATTGTTGTGTTGGCTATTGCAGCTCATGCGCCGCCCCTGAAGCGTATCTACCGATTCACCCGTGTTAGTTGCCCCGTTTGTCTTATGAAATGTATGTCGTACCTGTTTTTCGTTGGATTGTGTTGAGGCTGTGTGAACAATATATGGAATGCATGCATAGACCATTGGAGTTTTAATTCGTGTGGTGAACGATGTGGTTATCGATTGATGGATATCCGTACTTGCTTATTGTTAGGTTTGGTGTTTGAACTGTTAAGCTGATTTTCCGGAACAGGTTGTTGTTGTGTTGTGATTGCTAGGCTTGTTTTATGGGTTGTTTTACTTCGTTGCTAGGTATGGAGATTGTCGAGTAAAAATTGTGGTGTCCATGTCCCTTAATGTCGGGATTCTTATGCATACTATGAATTAATGTTTGCAAGTATTGCCAATGATGATGTTTATAGCATTATGTGTAAACGAAATTTCTTTCGGTATTGGGGAGGTCACAGCAGGTCTTTTTGTTACGCACAATTTCAATTGCCGTGTATCACCTATTTTTCGTACCATGATATTTCTGCGTAACAAAAGGATGAAATACCGTGACAAAAAGTGGTCATTGGATGTTTGTTGTTCCGTGGCTAATGATAAGTATATTTTTAATTACGGGTTCAATGTCGTTACAAATATTCGTAACAAAAACGAAATCTGACAAGCGATTACTGGAACGTTTTTGTAACGCGCCGACCTTTCGTAAAAAATATCGTAACAAAAAGCTCTGACACATGCGTGGAAGGATCGACCTTTGGTTACGAGAGGAAATTCGTACCAAATATTGTAACAAAAACCCTGCATTAGGGAGCGTTGACCGACAGTAATAGTTACGAAAAACTGCGTGGCAAAAAACATTCGTTACGCGAGTACACATTACGGAAAAAAGTCGTAACAAAGGCGTAGCAAATACGCAAATTGCACGAAAAATGGCTTGTTGTTACGATTTTTCGGCCGTAGTAGAAAACAATTTTTTTAGTAGTGTTAATTACTATGCCAAAAAGAATGTGACATAATCAATTGGACAGAGGGAGTAATAAGAAGATACACAGATTGTTGGCATTCTTGTTGGTAGCTAGGTCTTTTCGAATTGCAAGACTCACTAGTAGTTTTGTGTTAACTATTTTATGTTGGATCGGTACGATATTATTGTTTTTGTGTCTACTATCATTTAAAGTAAGATCTGTAACAGAGTGTTTTATTTGCAATCATAATTATGAAATTGCTTACAATAAGAGATTGATTGAAAATTAATTGAAAATGTATTATAATAAAACTTTAATAAAAGACTATGATAAAATTATAATAGTATTATACACGTTGCATACACAAAAGCACAACATAGTCATTTGTATAATTTTATTTTCTTTCGTATTGAGGTTTTCTTCTATATAAATATAAAGTTGAATTAAATGAAATAAACATACTTCATTCATTTCCTACATTAATCACACTACCAAACAAAGGGGCTATCCTTACGGTACGAGGGGGCGTAACAATAACATCGATACAAATGACTATTTTTGTTACAATCTTATCCGTGACAAAAAGATTTTTTCTGGTCAACGCCTGAGTTTCAATTGTTACGCAAAATTTTCCGTAACAATTACAAATATGGTAACATTTCATAAAAATAACATTAGTTACAATTAATTTTCGTAATATTTTCAATTAAGTATATTTTTTTTCCTCTTAAATAACAAAAAAAAAATAAATTGTTGAACGCATTTTTAAGCTTTCAACATAATGGGTTGGGAGCGTTTTTTATATCCTTAGACACCATTGCGATGGATCACTTTCAACACTACAAAACGTTAGGGCAAATAAATTTTCTCCCTTTTTCGTCTCGTTCCCTTCTTCCGCCGTTCGAGAGGGCCAACATCGCCTCATCCTTCTATCGGTGACAAGCTACTCCGGCGCCGGCGTTTAGGTAAGAATTTTGATGATTTCCCCTATCTAAAACCGTGTGTATGTTCTGGTTCTCAAAGGCCCATTCGATCTTCGGGTTTGTGTAAGAAAATGATTCTTCTATCGAGCCACTAGGGCTTCGGTGATTTAGTAGTTTTTGGGTCAAACAAAACTAATTCTTTACTCATTTATTGCTAGGAAATCCGGTTTGAAAGAAGATTGGCTTACGGGTTCATTTCTATGATTGTAAAGGCTATTATGTAAGTGGGTATATAGTTTTTCAATTTCTTCTTAATCGATCTTGTTGTTGGTTGTTTAAGTAGCAGTAGATGAGGAGAATTAGGGATTTGCTAAACCCAGCTCTATAAATATTTTTATATATTTATATAAATGTCAATGTTTTACTGGTATGGTAGTGAAAATGAGTGGGTGTATGTTGCTTCTAGTTTTTGTCCTCATTTTAGGTGGTTCACTTGTTGCGAGAAAATAGAAAAAAAAATTGAAAATAATTGATATCCAAACTTATGGCGAAATCAAGGTTGCATCAAACATTTTTGTCTAGTGCATCTTCAAAATACCTTTTCATTAAAATAAAATTGGGATACATGGAGGCTGATGTCTTAGGCTTATTCCCATACCGACATGGGAATTAAGTGATTTAGATTTGAAATTGTTTTGTTGTGGTTACCCCAATATATTTTCAAGTCAGGATGAGAGTTGCTAGTATGTTTTCAATAGGTTATGCTATGTTGTGATTGCCCTTTTATAAGGTATTTATTACAGAAGGTTGGTTCTAATTCAATCCCAAAAGTGAGAATGCATATTGTGACTTAGTGCATGTTTATAGTGTTGTTGTAATTAATATAGATATCACATTTTGGGTGTTGTAGCTTAAATTAAATATGGCCAAAAAAAGAATAGTGCCAGGTATCCAATTAAGGAGACAAACATCACAAGATTTCAATTATTTAAAGTATTGGAGATCAGTGAGGTAATTTGTAGGTTATATTCAATGAGGTTGGTGATGGATGGACGGATGCTGATGAGTTTGAATGTGTATATATATATGTGTATAAATATTAATTAGATGATGAGGAAGAGTTATAATTAATCGTCTGTGTGTATATTCAAAAATAGAGGTTGAGATGATATTATTTATTTATTTATTTATGCAGTATCTGGGTGGTCTCCATCGCCGGTGCTCCAATCTCTCCCTTTTTATTCAATGCTTTCTTAAAAAAAACTTGTTAGTGTTTGAGATCCTTCTATTTATTTCAATGCTTTCATCACACTTGTATGTTCTATTGGACGTTTCTAAGATTGGAGCCTTTAGAATGATGAAATTGACGTGAATATATTGTGACCAGCTTTTAATCTTGAGAGCTGGTGGGGATCAGTTGCTGCAAAAAATTGGCCTGATGAATAACTTGCTCTCGGGAGCTTTTCAGTATATTCATTTTTCTTTTTTCTTGCCTAATATTTTTTAAAAAATAAAAATTACCGTTAACATAATGTCAATGTTACATTATAAACTTCCTTTTACAGATGAAATTGCTTACTCAGTTTGGTGCATTTTTGGATCTGGTGGCTAATAAGGTAATGATTGTTAAATTAGTTTGTGGAGCATAGATGAAATAAGGTAATGATTGTTAAATTAGTTTGCAAAATTAGGTGAAAATATATCCTCAATTATATCTTTTAAGTAACTAACCATCTGCTCTTAGGCTGCTACACTTGTTTGAGCCTATTTAGTCTCCAGTCAGTTTGAAGGATTAATTTGGAAAATATCAATATGTGTTTTGCTTGTTAAAGATTATGACATTTTGTGACTAATGAAATAAATTGAATGAATTTTTTTGTATTAATTAATCACTATTTGTTATTATTATTTGAACAAAATATTGCAAAAATATAAAATATTATTATGATATTTTGGGCGGAAGTCGACGCCAGAAAATAAAAAAATATATGTATATGGTGTGACGCTAAAGGTGGCGCCAACACATATTTTATTTTTATTTTTATTTTATTTTGGTTCACTTTCGACATCAATAATTTATTTTTTTTTACTTAGTTGTGGCACCAGCTTCGATGCCTTTTCTTTTTCCTTATTTATGGTTCCTATAATAGCACCAAGAGTTTTATTTTTGGTCCGAAAATCAGGCGCAAAGGAAATTGGAATTGTAATTCTGTACCGGAGTAAAACCGTGACACATGCCGTGCCATTTGAGCATAAAAGTTGCGGTTTTGGCGCAGTTCATTCCGCGCCAATTCCTCATTTTTCTAGTACTATTGTACTTTGAGTTGTTTTTTTGCAGCATTCCGTTTTAAATTTTTCATGTTGCATCCCTTTTTTTTGGTGTTTTTACTTTAATTTGAAGTTCACAGTTTCTCCCCTGTGAAGAGAGGTCAACATGATTTGTTATGCTTTCCTTCGAGATCGTATGTTAGTGATAAAGAATAAAAGTTACCAACATCCAGATTTTCTGCACAGTTTTAAGTCCAATGTCAAGTTTCTGCATGTTCTTCATGCTATTGATGTACTGTTCCATTTGCAATTAAATTTTGTTTCCTGCAAAAGCCATACCACGTGAAGAATGAAAAATCTGATGGATTTCACTTTTACGCATTTGGACTTTATCTCTGCTCATCATCAGCTCTTGGGTCTGATTTTACTTGTTTTTACAGGTCTTTAATCAATGGCTATAAGGATAGGTCTGCATTTTTTTTATTAGTTAAGTTATGTCTAAAGTTCTTCTTTGTCTTCAAGCTAGTTATGTGAAACCCTTACACAGTTCGAGTTTTTTTTCAACTATCAATTTTCATGTGATCAAAATTTTGATAGTGTATTACAATACATGTGATTTAAGAACAAGAATAAGAATTGATAAGGACAAACGGAAATAAAATAACAAAAGATGATTGATGACAACCAAGACAAGAAAATTTTATGCGTTAACCAAATATAAAACAACTTTTTTCCTTTTTTTCAGCTTCTGGTGATGGTGGAATACCAGAAGTCATGGCTGATCCCCAAGGTGCAGTTTCAAGAGAAATTCAGAATTTGGGTGTTTGTGTGGTGCAATAGTGTGCCAAAATTTATCAACTAGGCACGTCAATATTCTCGTCTTATAGTGTGGTTGTAAATTTCTTTTCAAGAAAATGCTTAAAAGTCTGGGGTGATTCATTAATGTTAGTTGAAAGCTTCTTATGCTTGTACTGTATAGTGTCAACGACAACCACTTATGATAAATTTATGAAGGAACCAATTCAAAGGTTTGTTCAACAGTTTCAGTCCCTCCATCATCATATAATACTAAAAGTGATATATATGCTTCTAATTCAATCCTAAAATAGAGTGCATATTGTGAACTAGTGCGCGTTTAACTTATGTAGAAGTTTGCCCTATTTTTATGGAAAATTAGTGCATGTTTAACTTATGTTTCTTTGATAGGAAGTGGCTGTGTGTCAATGAAGGCATGCTCTGTGAATTCAGGATAACCATATTTGAGTTTAAGTAATGTTTTTTTTTTTATAGGAAGTGGCCGCGTGTCAACGAAGGCGTGCTGTGTGAATCCACGATAACCAGATTTGAGTTTATTCCCTATGTTGATACAATTTAGACATTAAGTACCTCTATAACAATATGTGCAAGGTTGGCCTCACTTGATTCCTTTGCTGTAGACATATTTACAAAATGAGCTAAACGAGATTCCCCATGAAGGGCAGACTCCGGCTGTTCGGGAGACTCTATACCGACGGGCTCTTGGGGGAAAAGCAAGAAGCGCTCAAAGGTTGACAGTGCTACGAGTTCAGGTCACCCCTCAATGAAGCAACTAGTTTAATAGATATTGTAGCATTCCAGCAAGGGTGGGAAAAAATGCATAATGGAATTGCAGAGTTGATGACAACAATGACTGAGTTCAAAAATATCAAGGCTGATGTGTATCCATTCATGCACGAAAACTCTATAGCAGTTACTGGCCCATTTGAAGTAGTCATAATATCCGTACTTTGCATAATTGTATCCTATGTGCTTTGGATGGCTAAGAAATTCACTATGATCTGCTTATACTTGATAGGCCACAACTCGTATTGATACGGTCTCTGAGCTTCTCAGACCTGTTTCCGAATCACCTATGACGGTCTGATGTCTTCTAAACCTGAAGTTAACTAGTAATCCGTGCAGTGTCAACTTTAGGCCAATTCTCTTGGCCAACTATGTTTCTAACTCATTTGTAATGTCTATTGTAGGTCGGTACCCGTGTGCTTATATTATCTTGTACCAGATAAAAGAAATTTTTTGCTAAGGGACTTGTGCTCTGCCTCCCGTGCCTGGTTCGTGGCATTGTGCCTTGAGTTTTTTCTTTTAAATCCTTTAATATGATGTTCATACCGCATCGTCGATGTTGTGGCCATTCAGGTCTCATAGTGAAGATGATCATGGTTTTATTGAGTCTGCGCATATTCAGTTTGACATACGTGGTAGTTAGAATATTATCTATACGTAGGCTGTTAATATAGGGGCAGTGGCTATGTTGGTATTATGCCAATTATGTGCTGATCTTATATTTTTTATCGTTCACATGACATTGTTTATGGCTATGTTCCTATTACACTATTTAAGTGCACATTGCAGTGCCAAAATTGTTAAATGTTGGCCTTATTATTGAGTATCTTGTAGTTCTGAGCTGCCTACAACAGCTATTTATGTGATGAGGATCACTAACATATAACTTGATTTATTAGTCATCAGTACTCTAAACTTGAACTCATCAGCGGGTATGCTCATATTTAATGCATAAATGGTAATTAATCTCCATGGGACATGATAATACGACGCATATATGGAGTAGTCCCATTTGGGGGTAACCATATGGAGTTATTACTTATTGAAATTATTATTTTAATGTTGTACATGATCTGCTGCTTTACTTAGGTTTTATTGGTGGATGAGTTGTTTACAGTTTGAGTTGCAATCACACAGGAAATTAGAAAGTAGCGTGTTTTGGTGCCTAATTCACGGGTCGAATACCATGTATTGTAGTACATGTCTGAATGTACATACTCATGTTGTATGAGTTGGGAATTTTATACTTCAAATGTGTTATGGCATGTTATATATACAGTTTGATTGTGTGTTGATATTTACGGTGGACTACATACTCAACAATTGTACTTGTGAATGTTGTAGGTGACACATTTTTCCTTGTCAAGGTCTTCATTACATTCGCCTCAGTCCCGGACACATCACTTATTTTTTCGACAATTGCTGGGGCGACTACCATTCGCGACGTTGTCGGTGAAGATCCTATTGAGTGGAACTACAAGGATGTTCAGATATACTTTAATACCTTTCATTTATTTAATTCCAAAACTTAAAAGAAATATTACTTAAACTAAACCTCCTTTTGTTGGTAATTGCAGCTCATGCGTCACCCCTGAAGCATATCAACCGATTCCTTAATGTTTCGCCCCTGGTTGCCTTATGGATTGGATGTCGTAGATGTGTTTGGATGGTAGGTTGTTACAGCTATGTGAAATACCTATGGAATAGATGCATAGACATTTGGAGTTATCTTTTGTGCTGTGAGAATTTTTGCTATGGATTGATGGATTTCCCCACTTGCTTATTACTAGGTTGGATGTTTAAAATGCTTGCGTTTTGTGGAACATAATGTCGAAGTGAAAATGTTGCTAGGCTTGTTTGATGGGTTACTTAATTTTGTTGTTTGGTGGTGGAAATCGACTAGTAAATATTGTTATGTTAATATCTTATGTTGGGATTCCTTTATAGTGTTTATTGTTTGCAATTATGGCCAATCGTTATATTTATAGAATGGTTGTATACAAAATTTTCTTTGGTGTAAGAAAGATCACAACAAGTTAATTTGTTACGCCCAATTTCAACTGTACCACACCTACTTTTTTTATGAGACGCTATTTTTTCGTAACAAAAGAAAGAAATGACGTAACAAAATGTTGTTTTGGATGGTTGTTGTTATGACCACTTCTGTGACCATAAGAATGGATAGTTTTGTTAAGGGTTTAATGACATAACAAAAAAATAAATGACGTAACAAAAAAATGAAATGACGTAACAAAAAGTGGTTTTTGGATGTAACAAATATGAAGGGATAATTTTCTTGCGGCTGGTTTCGTGACCATAAGAAAATATATTGTTTATTACAGCTTCAATGACGTAACAAAAAATCGTAACAAAAAGAGTTCTCTGACAAGTGGTCATAGAAAATTTTTTGGTAACGCGAGGAACTTTTGTAACAAATATCGTGACTAAAAGTCCTGGCACACGCGTGGGAAGCTCGACTTTTTATTACTAGAGAATATTCTTAACAAATATCGTAACAAAAACCTTGCCATAAGGAACGTTGACCAACAGTAGTAGTTACGAAAATATGCGTGGCAAAAAACATTCGTTACGCGAGTACACATTACGGATAAAAGTCGTCACTAAGGCGTAGCAAATACGCAAATTACACAAAAATTGGCTTTTTGTTACGAATTTCCGGCCGTAGTAGAAAACTATTTATTTGGTAATGTCAATTTTTCTCTATGCTCTGGTGTCTTATTTCTCTAGTAAATGTATTATGCACACTATATAACAATATATATAATATCAACCATCATCATCATCATACACACGCATACACATTCATACATACATATACATCGCGCTACGCCGCGCCAGTCGTTTGTTTGTTTCATTTTTTTATAAAGAAGAAGTTGTTATTGTTGAATGTTTTTTTTCAACAAACAAAAAGTAAAATCCGAAAATAGGAAATATCTTCGAATTTGATATATTTAGCGCCTGGGATTAGGAATCTCTAAACACTGTACGGTACAGAAAATAAACTGGAAAATTAAAATGCTGGAAATCTAAATGATGATCCCCGAATCCCTTGACTTTGATGTCATTTGAAGATGATTGAAGATGCCCTGTCAGTTGCAAATTTTAATCCCTAAATACTCTTCAGAAACGGTACTGAAAATCGTCGCCCGAACGGTTACAACGCCTCTTTTTCAACCGTCTGCTAACCCTTCTCCTGCTGACACGTGCCCTCAGCCGACCGAATTATCACTCTCACTTACTCTCAACAGTATCCGACCTTCATACCAACCGATCTGCCTATCCAAACACGAATCTGCCGATTCTTTGGACCGACCGCAGACCTTCCGCCTTTTTGGACCGACCGCAATCCTTCCGCCTTGTTGCTCCAACCGCAAACCTTCCGTCCTTTTTGGACCGACCACAGTCCTTCAGCCTTGTTGGTCCAACCGCTAACCTTCCGGCTTACAAATCACCCGTCTTATTGGTCCAGCCGCAAACTTTCCGACTTACAGACCACCCGACTTGTTGGTCCAGCCGCAAACCTCCCGACTTACAAACCATCCGACTTGTTGGTCCAGCCGCAAACCTCCCGACTTACAGACCATCCGACTTGTTGGTCCAGCCGCAAACCTCCCGACTTACAGACCATCCGACTTATTGGTCCAGCCGCAAACCTCCCGACTTACAGACCAACCGACCTGCGGACCTTCCGACCTGCGGACTTTCCGTCCTACGGACTTTCCGATCTACGGACCTTCCGACCTGCGGACCTTTCGACCTGCGGACCTTCCAACCCGCTATTTCCTTAGAAATACGCCTACTTTACCTGAGTTCACCGCAATGCCCCTCGATCAGCTCGATCACCTCAATTGTTAGGCCCATTTTTTCTTTTTAACTTGGGCTTTTTAACCTAATTCTAAATTTCATACGTAACAGTTATATTGTGTAATTTAATCAACAAAAGAAAGAGAAGAGAAAGAAATATATATTTTTTATATCTGTGCAACCAATCAATTTAAAAAATATATATATTTGTTTGGATAGTTTTTTTCTATTTTAATAAAAAATTATTCTCTAAAAAATAATATATATACTGAATTGGTCGGATGACAAGGAGGAGAACCGTAGGTAGTCGGTTGGGATAGAAAGAGGAAAGAAAGAAATAATAAATTATATAAATATATATTTTTTATATATGTGCAACCAACCAATTTTAAAAAATATATATTTTTCTTTGGATAATTTTTTTTCTATTTTATTTAAAAATTATTTTCTACAAAATGATATATATACTGAATTGGTAGGATGACAAAGAGAACGAGAACCGTCAATTAAGTAGTCGGTTGGGATAGAAAATGTAGAGAAAGAAATATAATAAATTATACTATAAATATATATTTTTTATATGTGTGCAACCAACCAATTTAAAAAAATATATATTTTTGTTTGGATAATTTTTTTCTATTTTATTAAAAAATTATTTTCTACAAAATGATATATATACTAACTTGGTCGGATGACAAAGAGGAGGAGAACCGTCCAGTAAGTAGTTGGTTGGGATAGAAAGAGAAGAGAGAGAAATATAATAAATTATACTATAAATATATATTTTTTTATATCTGTGCAACCAACCAATTTTTTTTGAAAAAATTATTTTTCTTTGGATAATTTTTTTTCTATTTTATTAAGAAAATATTTTCTACAAAATGATATATATATATATATACTGAATTGGTCGGATAACAAAGAGGAGGAGAACCGTCCAGTAAGTAGGCGGTTGAGAAAGAAAGAAGAGAGAAAGAAATATAATAAATTATATAAATATATATTTTTTATATATGTGCAACTAACCATTTTTTTTTGAAAAAAATTATTTTTCTTTGGATAATTTTTTTCTATTTTATTAAAAATTATTCTCTACAAAATGATATATCTACTGAATTGGTCGGATGACAAGGAGGAGAACCATCTAGTAGGTAGTCGGTTGGGATAGAAAGATGAGAGAAAGAAATATAATAAATATATATTTTTTATATCTGTACAACCAACAAATTTAAAAAATTATATTTTTCTTTGAATAATATTTTTTTCTATTTTATTAAAAAATTATTTTCTACGAAATGATATATATACTGAATTGGTAGGATGACAAAGAGGAGGAGAACCGTCTAGTAAGTAGTCGGTTGGGATAGAAAGAGAAGAGAGAGAAATATAATAAATTATACTATAAATATATATATTTTTATATTTGTGCAATCAACCAATTTTTTTTGAAAAAAATTATTTTTCTTTGGATAATTTTTTTTCTATTTTATTAAAACAATATTTTCTACAAAATGATATATAAACTGAATTGGTCGGATGACAAAGAGGAGGAGAACCGTCCAGTAAGTAGGCGGTTGAGAAAGAAAGAAGAGAGAAAGAAATATAATAAATTATATAAATATATATTTTTTATATATGTGCAACTAACTAATTTTTTTGAAAAAAAATTATTTTTCTTTGGATAATTTTTTTCTATTTTATTAAAAAATTATTCTCTACAAAATGACATATCTACTGAATTGATCGGATGACAAAGAGGAGAACCGTCCAGTAGGTAGTCGGTTGGGATATTAAGAGGAGAGAAAGAAATATAACAAATATATATTTTTTATATCTGTGCAACCAAGAAATTTAAAAAAATATATATTTTTCTTTAGATAATATTTTTTTCTATTTTATTAAAAAATTATTTTCTACAAAATGATATATATACTGAATTGGTAGGATGACAAAGAGGAGGAGAACCGTCAATTAAGTAGTCGGTTGGGATAGAAAGTGTAGAGAAAGAAATATAATAAATTATACTATAAATATATATTTTTTATATATATATGCAACCAACCAATTTAAAAATATATATATTTTTGTTTGGATAATTTTTTTCTATTTTATTAAAAAATTATTTTCTACAAAATGATATATATAATAACTTGGTCGGATGACAAAGAGGAGGAGAACCGTCCAGTAAGTAGGCGGTTGGGATAGAAAGAGAAGAGAGAGAAATATAATAAATTATACTATAAATATATTTTTTTTTTATATCTGTGCAACCAACCAATTTTTTTTGAAAAAAATTATTTTTCTTTGGATAATTTTTTTTCTATTTTATTAAGAAAATATTTTCTACAAAATTATATATATATACTGAATTGGTCGGATGACAAAGAGGAGGAGAACCGTCCAGTAAGTAGGCGGTTGAGAAAGAAAGAAGAGAGAAAGAAATATAATAAATTATATAAATATATATTTTTTATATATGTGCAACTAACCAATTTTTTTTGAAAAAAATTATTTTTCTTTGGATAATTTTTTTCTATTTTATTAAAAAATTATTCTCTACAAAATAATATATCTACTGAATTGGTCGGATGACAAAGAGGAGAACCGTCCCGTAGGTAGTCGGTTGGGATAGAAAGAGGAGAGAAAGAAATATAATAAATATATATTTTTTATATCTGTGCAACCAACAAATTTAAAAAATATATATTTTTCTTTGGATAGTATTTTTTTCTATTTTATTAAAAAATTATTTTCTACGAAATGATATATATACTGAATTGGTAGGATGACAAAGAGGAGGAGAACCGTCCAGTAAGTAGTCGGTTGGGATAGAGAGAGAAATATAATAAATTATACTATAAATATATATTTTTTTATATTTGTGCAAACAACCAATTTTTTTTGAAAAAAATTATTTTTCTTTGGATAATTTTTTTCTATTTTCTTAAAAAAATATTTTCTACAAAATGATATATAAACTGAATTGGTCGGATGACAAAGAGGAGGAGAACCGTCCAGTAAGTAGGCGGTTGAGAAAGAAAGAAGAGAGAAAGAAATATAATAAATTATATAAATATATATTTTTTATATATGTGCAACTAACCAATTTTTTTTGAAAAAAATTATTTTTCTTTGG